GAGGACATTGTATCCCTTCTTGAAACATTTCCATGCTTTGTTTCTTTTCGTCGGTGACTGAATTGTGACGTTTACAGTTGGTTGCAAGACACAAGAGCCGTCGTGCATTCACCGTATATTTTGATGCACGTACGAGCAAATCTTTTCTTTCCCTCACAGAAATGTTCTGTTCTGCTTTAATGAGTTCGAACGAATCAACCAGCTTCTGTTGTACTTCTATTTCGTTTTCGGCGAATTCTTCAAATAGAATAGCACAACCTTGTTCGACGGAACAAATTGCTTTTTCTTTGATGTCAGGCGGATCACTGATTTTTTTCTTATTCTGTCGTCTTTCACTTTAGCTTTTTCTTTTAAATTGCTAGTTCTGTACAACTCTGCAAGATCAGCTAATGTGTTTAAGTGTTTTGGGTTAATGTTTATATATCGTTCGAGTTTTCTTATATTTTGAGCTATGTATCTATGTTTGTGTAAAACATTATCAAGTAAAGTTCGCATTAATTCAACAACTCCGTTCACTATATCATGCTCCCGTTCTGATGCAGTATCTAATACTATTTTTCGGTTTTCGACTTGAGTCTGGCCTGATGTATGCATTAAGTTCAGCTTCATTCTGAAAAGGCCAGGACATATGTTATTTAATACTGGTTTTGCCTCCTCCATTTTGCTTTCCTTTTTCTTCCTGCAATTACACTTAGCCTTTACAAATTACGTATTCTGCAAAATGAAAATACGCAAGTAACGGTAGATAGGAAACAGAGTATAACAAATGGAAAATAATTGCTACAAAAATATTCATTTAAAAGAGTCCAACTATGGTTGAGAAAAACAAAATTCCTATTGCTGATGTTTACAAACGTATTAAAAGGGATTCTGATACATGTACATTTATATTAAAGCTCATCTTGCAAACGGATCGATGTTAGACGCAAAGCGAAAGAAGTAAATGTAGTAACAAAGCTAGTGAGCCAAAAGACAATGTTTTCACAACTTCTTCTGTTAACTCCTTCATCAGAAATATGTCCTAAGTTTTCTTGCGTTTAGTTGTCACACAATGCTGTCATTTTAGTAGTATTTTTAATATTGTCATACGAGCAGTAGGTTTGGCCAGCCATAAAACCAGGTGCAAACCACCATTTTGTCTTCAAATGGCCTATACCGATGCAAATCAGGAATATGACAGTTGTTATCAAATAGTCTATTTCTATGTTCGTTGGCGTTTGTTTTTGGAGCAGTTCAGTGTTTATGTTGTTCCGTTGCTTACCTCTTATAGTTGATTTGTTTTCCTCGGTTTTGGTTTGTGACCCGGATTAATTTCAGTTAATTCGATTTATGACTACTGAACAGCGATATACTACTGTTGCGTTATTTATAGATAAAAAAACAATCTTAAAATAAAGGCGCAAGGACTCAGCAATGACACTGGATTCAAAACAATTATCATAACGGCATATAGTAAATTATACAAGGTCCCGTATCAACTAAAAATAGAAAACAAATGAGGTGATTACATCAAACCATGCAACGGAAAAGAAATATGGCAGACAGCAACAAATGACAATACGAGAATTATGACTCCAATGTGGAATAGTTGATGATTTTTTATGATTGGAATATAACACATGCATGGAAGCTAGAGATGGTTGTAATTTTAACCCTCGCTAAAATAATAAGATACTAGCACACCATAAAAAAACATGTGTAAAGCTAGTTATTATTAAGGTCAAGAATCAATTAAATATGAACTCACGTAATGTATGAAAAACAAAGATATCCTTGAAATAATTGCTTTTTGATTTGATCTAACAAAAAATTAAATCATAAAAATACTGAACTTTGAGGAAAATTTAAAAAAGGAAAGTCCCTAATGGCAAAATCAAAAGCTCAAACACATCAAACTAATGTACAGGCATTTTCTTATGTAAAAAATGATGGATTAAACCTGGTTTTAAAGCTAGCCAAACCTCTCACTTGTATGACAGTTGCATTAAATTCCATTATATTGACAACGATGTGTGAACAAAACAAATAGACATAATAGGTTAAAATGTCAGAAGTAGGGGTACAGTAATCAGCATTGTGTTATGATCTTAATCACTATAAAAACAAACACATATGTTACAAAGAGGCACAACATTGCATTTAGACAAAGCACATTAGCAAAAAAGAAAGTCAAGAATACGAGAATTATCATAGAACAATAACACAATGACGGGATGTACAATAACCGTGCCACTTCAAATAGATATCAATAACAACTAGACAGTAAACGTATTATTAATAAAGACAAATGAAAAAACAATAGTGCTCTTTATATTCAATGCATCTGTTACTACAAACATCAACAACTGGACCAGACTTAACAACGCTTAATGTACAGCTTAAAGGTTTTAACATTGATAGTAACTTTACTTGTTTTATAATACGTTAAAAACTGTAAGACCAGATTTAAGAATTCAATTACCATCTTCCTGCGCCTATTTGGATTCTGACGTTTCCGTCGTTATATCTGCAACAGTGTATTTTTGTGGGGCATACTCTCGTACAAATTTTCAAAATATATTTCTTTATTTTGAAGAATATTTATGTGTATTACTAGCTCATCATTCTAAAAAATGCCTTAAATGTTCCGAACGACAAGCGATATAACATAATACAATATAACAGACTTGTTAGTCTGGGACTGATTTTTTGAATGATAACATATTAAACTATTACTTTAAAAGATGTGGGGTATATAACGAGACAGAAATTAAACGACACAGATAAGTAGAAAACATCTAAAGTGCATCATTGCAATGTGTTAAGCTCTAAATTACACCGAATCAAACAATGTGAAACTGATCACAGGAAATTTGAAGCTTAATATATTTCTTTTCATACTATGTACTTTCAAAGTTGCACAACAGTTGTGGAAAATACTTAAACTTTGATAGATGTTTAATTCAAACAAAAACCACACAATAGAAACACAATGGAAATCACGAGGTAGTACCGATACACGGAAATGTATAATGAAAGACAAAAAATAGATTTCAATAATGATATATAAAAGTATAGTATTGAGCTCATATGTATTACCTTAAACTTTTAACAAAGCTGTAACTAAAGCTTATAATTGTTATTTGAAACAGTAAAGCTTAATATGGTTGTAACATTCATTGGTGTGCCCGTCTACGATAGAAGGGGGCCTTATGATTTACATGCTGTCCGTTCATCCGTTATTTCGTTCTGTATAAGTATTTGGTTAATGTAGTTTATTTTGAAGGTGCGGTCTCATCAAATTGAAATTAAAGAAAATTGCTTATTGTAATGTGGACGTTTTATATTATATAACAGATTACGGTTTTAAACACGATTGCACAGTTTACAAATTCCGAGGTGTTCATATAAAGGACACGTAAACCAGTAATCATTTAATTTTGGTAGCTTCAGTTACATTTATGCATACATAAATAAGAATTCATTCAAATAATATATTAAATATAACGCAAGAGACTACAAATACAAAAACACTAAATGAAACGGGTCCGAATGAAATAACAAAATCCGCCTTATTTAAAAGTGTTATTGGAAACCATCGGGCTGGGGTTCGTACTCATAACCTTATTCCCTTACTTGCGGAATATGATTATACTTAACCCCTAGATTCACTGAAGGCAAATGAAAGCATATCAGATATCTTTATTGTTCCTATACATGGATTTGGGGTCTTTTAAAGGGAAAAAGTAAAATCACAAAAAATACTGAACTCCGAGGAAAATTAAAAAAAAAAGTCCCTAATCAAAATAACTGTATTTTCATGAGTAAAAATAACTGTATTTTTCATGAGTCAAAATAACTGTATTTTTCCATAATTTAACATTTCAAAGCGCCGAATTTGTGCTTAAGGTACTATTGCAGAGAAGAAAGCAGAATTTGTTTACAAGTAATAACCACTTATTTTAGAATGGAGTCAATTAAGATTTTGACATCTTGGATAGGCGACTGTCCAATGGTGAAGATATTTAGTCTTAACTCTTTATTTTGTTTGTGTCGTTGGGCTGAGGTCCCATCATTACCTTATATATTAAAACTTCATTTAAATATATAAGGTCCACATTTTGTTTAGTACATTTTTTAAAGTAAACAAAAAAAATTATAATTGTAAACAATTAGAGACATGTAAAAGAGAAAGATGTTCCTTAAAATATGTTCTTTCTTTATACACAATTAACTAACATTAAAATGATCTATTTTAACTTTTACATTTGGGACATTCCATGTAGTTGACAAATAATAATCACTTATTTTAGAATGGGGTCAATTAACATCTTGGATAGGCGACTGTCCAATGGTGAAGACATTTAGTCGAACTCTTTTTTTTGTTTGTGTCGTTGGGCCGATGTCCCATTAACGCATACCCTATTCCCTTTTTATTCATATAGAAAATATAAATGAGTTAATAAGACACTTTCATTATTTTTAGTTCAAGAAATCATCCTTATAGAAGAACCTTTGCTGCCTTCATACATATCAATGAATAGATTACTATACAGTGATTTGATAGCAAAGTCAGCAGATTCTTTGTATTTTTCCGTGCTATCATTTCAAGACTAATAAATAAAAAAATCTAGATAGCATACGACATTGTTAAGTGAGCGATTTCAATGCGGATTTCTTAGACCTTCTTTATACCATCATTATTCATTGTCTTTATAACAACATGAAAAGTCAGCATGTGTTCTTCGGTCCACCTAAATAATATGCTGTTCAGATTTTCACTACATTATTGACTAATTTACTTGCAATTTGAATAATGGCCAGTGGTATACATATAAATCGTATTCTGGACATAAAACATGTTAAAGCAGTATTGAAATTGACATAAAGGGATAATATACAGACTATTTTGGATTGATATTTTCAACAAAAGCTTGTGTAATGTAAACCATATTTGACACGAAAAGACGTTAAGTTTGAAACTACCAAGTGTAAACAAATTTCTTTTTTTTTCTCTACAATAGTACCTTTAGCAAAAATTCGGCGCTTTAAAACGTTTAATAATGGAAAAATACAGTTATTTTGTGTAAAGTGGAAACTTTAGCTCGAGGATAAATCAGTGATTAATTGAATTTTTAAATTTCATCGTTACAGCATTATCTTGTAATTGGGTGTGATCATTTTATTTTCAAATAGTCAAGATGCAAATAAAAAGTCTAGGAGTGGTTTATTGATATGAAACGAGTAGTTAACAAGAAATAGTCAAGTATCATTAAAAGTTCCAAACTACATTGTGTATATATGCTTCATAAATTGACTTGGATGGAGTGTTGTCTCTTTGACACTCATACCACATCTTATATATATGTATATCTGCATATGGCTGTTTGAAACGTGAATACTGTTTTTCATGCTCTTTTCGATAGAAAAATAAATAAGCTACTAAAAAAATACCGTGTACTAGTTCATCACATTCTAATATATATCACAAGTCTTGGTTTTTAGTGGCTGGTGATATAAAAATGGGAGATTAAACGTAAGATAGACATAACGTAGTTTTATATTAAACAGTTAAAATGATATGAGTACTCAATTCCACTCATTCATTCGTTTAATGCTTTTGAACAAACACGTTGAACAAGCAGTGATTAATTGAAGCAATGTTTACCCAAATATCTTTAATCAAACTAAATCAGAGGCTATGATTTTCCATTACTTACATATGTAGTACTTGGACATTGTTGTATAATATTTTGATTGTGAGAGATTGATATAAGTTCAAATCAATGTTCAAATGATATTTGCCGTGTACATTTCTGATTGTATATAAGATAATGCCGCACTTTTGTCATCTTCAAACAAGTGGCTATTAAACATTGTATTTTAATAGGGCAATAATTCCTCATTTACATTTTCAAATCACATTGTTACAGCCAAAACTTGTTTGCTTAGTTTTCCCGGAAATTATTCTTCCTAAAAAATGAAGTTTAAAGAAATTTGCAATTGTGTCAAACCATCCTACAGAGCCCCTACTATATTTATCAATTTACACATTATTATAAACTAGCCTTAAAGTTCATATTCATTTATTATGCGAATCATTACCACTTTGAAACTTATCATTGTAAATTATAGAATTCCACCATTGATATATTATCTGATGAAAGTTCAAGTTCACTGTAAATTTCAAAAGGTAAAACTTGGTCCTTTTTAATTTACTTGTCAGAGCTTACGGAAAACCTATTCTCTAATCATATGATATTGGATTGATTACGAAAATAGTGATGTTGTCACTGTCATACGTCATATAATTCATTTTATTGGTAGACATTTATTAGAGGAATATTTACTATTATTTCTTAAATGTATTGCTAACTCTTTAGGAAACTATTTGTATCCATTTGGGAACAAGTCTACGTATCTTTTTATATAAAAGTGAAACTCCAAATTTATAAGTGCTTTTATCACACAGTTTGTACTAATATGTACGTGTTTGCATGGACAATAATAGCCGGAAGTCAAAGTAGGTTATTTGCCCTCGGGGCCAATATCGATATTAGCCTTCGAATATCCATATCGTGCCCCCGACTTTTACTTCCGGTAACCTGGCTCTCAAAAACATCATCATTAACTCACTGTGATACATTTTTTTTAAATTTTTTCATCAAATGTTTTTTTTTTAATTTGTTGTTGAAAATATCAAACATAAATTGATAAATGCTTTCTTTTTTCTCCAGCTTGCAAATATGTGATTAATAGATTATTACATGTAATTTACTATGTTGGCCCTGGTATCAGCCCTCGACCAATAACAAGCCCTCGCGCTAAAGCCCTCTGGATTGATATGGGAGTATGTGGCTTATACCTGGGCAAATATTGAAAATGCCATGTAATAATCTATAAATTTGTTTCGTGTTTGATTTGTATATCTATTGATTGTTTGCATATGTTAGATCTCTTTATTTCAATATTAAATCTTTGGTTATGTTTTTACATGTATGGTTGATATATGTTTAGACTCTTCCTCCAGCAGAAATAACTTGCCTTAAGAATGTTGTCTGTACCCCTGAGTGTTTGAATAGAAATTACATATACAAAAGTTTTCTCGTATGCCGTACAAGTAAGCCCCAGAGAAAGTAATGATATAACACATTTACCTTTTCCGTAGCTGAAAATTATTTCGAATGTCGGAGCCCCGTTGACAGTCCCCCGATTGACCAATATATATAAAACCGTACAGTTCCGTTCCCACACTGTGAACAATATAATTTTATAAATATTTTACCACATAAGTTGCCATCAATTAGATTCAATATAGCATACAATTCGTTGAAAGATGAGACATCAAGTTGATAATAGCCTAATTAATATTATGATTCTTTAAAACTTGTATCTGAATAAACATGAATTTTGTCACGCTGTATAATTACAATCATTGGTTTGAATGAGTAACGCATGCAAAACCGTGTTTGTGCTTCAAACGTATCAACCTTTGATGAAAGAAGTTGATCGCATGACTTGAGGTCACGACTTATTTCATATACTTTATATGACGACTTAAACTTCTTTCGACAGCAAAATACAATATAATTTCCTTCTATGTCAATAGCTAGCTGTCGATCAAATAATAAGTAATCTTTATATTCGTAAATTGTTGTGCAGATACCATTTCCGTTAATAGATATAATATTTTCACCTTCCAGAGACATACCGCAAATCAAGTCTGACTTCTCAATGTATGACATATCTGACAGTATCAGCGAACTATTTGAAAATAGTATTTTGTCTTTCATTCGTCCAAACATATCCATGACTTCTATCTCTCCAGACGTAGCATGTACAAATAGTTTGTTATTGCCAAATGTAACTAGACATGAAGAAATCATGCATGGGAACCTCCCTACATTTCTTTTGACACATAACTCTTTGATATCAACTAACGTTATTTCAAAATGTCGTAATAAGTTGCCAACATGATCTAGTGTCATCAACGACACAGCTACATTCCAATCGTCTATTACCGCGATACAAAGCGGGTATCCATTTACTACTATAGTGTTCATTTGTTTACCATTCACCGTACATGTTATTAACTGCTTAACATAGCTATCGCAGATAACCAGCCTTCCTTTTTGCAATACTTTTACATCTTCAGCTGAATACGGACGTCTTAAATTAAAAGTACTGGTCAGTGCTAATCGATCTGAAATCAGAATAAAAAGGTATGGACGCTTCTTTAACTTAGTAATTCTTTCTGAAACAAGTGATACACTGACACTGAAACAACATTCTTCCCGCACTAGCCACACATTTACAAAGAAAACACACTGTCTACGCAATGGTTTACAATAAAAGTAGCATTAAATGAACAGTTTAAGTCCGAACCCAATAAAACAAGATATATTCAAAATTCATCTTTTACAAACAAATTGTGAAAATATCATAATATGTACAACTATCTTTATCATATTGACTAAATTTCCAACGGTTTGCATACCTTTTGTCTAATTCTAACACATTTACCGGACATTATGTCCTTCAACTTGTAGTGCTTGAACTGAAAATCATTAAATCGATGACCTACATATACCTCCTATATCTTTTTATTTTGTACATGGTTATAACCATACACTGGACACACCTTACCATCCTAAAATTCATAACCTTACATTGGTTTGCGCATCAAAATTGACATTCACCTCCATTGAATGACCAGTAATTAGACGGATGCAACTTCTTTCGTTTAATTCTATTTTACAAGTTTTATCTAAATAAATTGTGTAAACGTGGAATTCTGATTTTTAAATTATTTTTCATAATTACTTTGTTTTATCAATACTAAGTTATTGAACGGAAATTCATATACCTCCTTGTTATCTTTTGTTTTAAATTATGCCGTTGGTTTGTTCAATTCAATTGTTTTTGATTGCGTATGGCAAGCCAAATAAACATAATAAATAATTATTACGGATGGCGGATATATAACTAACAGACCAATAACATACATTGTTATTCAGACGACATAAGAAGATACAATGTAACATTTTGATTAGGCGTAACAGAGTTGCTTTTTCCTTAAATCTAGAAAAAAAACGAACCGAATGTTTTTATCAATCAATATTAATGCAAGTAAAGATTTCAACCCGTTTTTAATGTTCAATATATGAAACTTTTATTATTCATATGAATTTAATACCGAATGTAATACGATTTAATGTATGTAAGTAGCCATGAATATTGCTCTTTCAAACGAGTTTTATATCATCTTTCACAGAAAGTAAAGCTTTTAATTACTTTCTTTCATTAAAATGAAATTCTGACGTCGGCTGAGAGGACTTGGAACATATTATCATTATCATTTATTAACAACACCTTGTTCAAAATTATTTTCGAAAACAAAAGCAGTTAAAAAGATCAAACGATGATATCTGACGGTTTTGTTACGGGAAGTGGTCTACATTTCTGTTTTTTTTTTGTAATTCGTTTTGTCCGTTTTTCTCTGTTCAGTAAGAAGTGCGCTTATTTTGTAAAATTCCTGTGTTCAATTCCTGAATATGAAAATTTCCTGTTATATCACAGTTTTGACATGAGAGATCTTCCTCTGCTGGTAATATAGTTAATTAGGAGATCTGGTTAATCTTTATGCAGCTTGAGACAACAGATCTAGAACTGTATTTGGTAAACGCATAAGTAATATTAATACATTCTATTTTATCAGTGCCATAAACTGTTGAATACATGCAGGTGTCTTTTTTTATTATTTAAACTAGGTTTTATTTCATCAAACTATGTTACTAAAGTAATCTAAAAGTAATAAGTGATTACATCAAAAATTTTGAGGTACTCGATTCAATTACGATTACATGTGGTCGAACATTTTGTCGATTACAGATTACTGTTCTACCCATTACTGGTATTTTTTCTACAAATTTGGAGCATATCTGGGTTAATAAACAGAAGTTAAGATGACATGAGGTATATTTATTAATATTTAGCTGGTAAAATGAGATAATCATACTGATAATCTGAATATTCAGTTGTATAGCAGAGACAGTCCTGGTGGTTACCCGATTTTAACCGACATTAAGAGAAATCTCAAATCTGATAGAATACAAATTCGATCAACGGAACTAGATCTTATCCTTAATTACCTACATGTCCATCAACATATAAAACAAAAACCCTGCCTATTAATCAATTGCTATGGAGAATATAAGGATAAATTTAACATGTATTGGTACTAAATAAAATGTTGTACACCCATATATTTTTCTTTTATATAAAACAGCTCATATATCTTGGGTTATTTCATTTAATTTTTCTGAAAATAGGCGTAAAAGGATGCATAATACTACTAGTATAAGAGTATCTACAAGGAGAAGCTGTTGGTCGTTTTTGGTGGTCTGTTTTAATATTAAAGTCAGTGAGATTAATATGCTACAACCAATCAACAAAGAAGGTTACCTACTGTGAATAACAAATGTATGTAAAATGTCTTTATATGTTATGTTTGTCCTGTTTGCTTGTTTTGGTTTTTTGTTGTCGTCTCTCTCTCGTCGTGGTTTTGTTTTTTCATATTTTATTGGACTTTTTTTCTTTTGCAAAGACAACGCATTCACCATCTTATTCATTGTTTGAAAATTCTTCTCAGGTTATAGATCTGCATAACATATTTGTCACTGTACGTTCAGAAAACAACAACCAATCAATCATATCTCCTGTATACTCGCAGTTTTATAATAACTGTAAATACATTATCAAATACATGATTCATGTAATCATTTGGTAAGATATAAATATGTCTCAGCACCCTTCAATTTTTTTTTCAAATTTCCAATAAAAAGAAAAATGATGTTGAATATCGAAGGAAGTAACCTTTCAAAAATACGAGGGTTGTGTTTCCAAAGATAAGTCTTGGTTATTCAAAGCAAGGAATAAATCGTTATATTCAATGTTTGTGCATTTTTAAATTGAAGCAGTTGATTCTTTTTGTTTTCGATATTTATTTGACCACTTTTATGATAATTCATGGTAAAATGATGATGATGATGAGAAGGAGAGGAGGAAGATGATGATTCAGCGGCAAATTATATGCATATTCGTGTCTAGAGCATGGTAAAACGATACTTATATTAATCCTCCTTTGTACAAAACCGACATGCTGAGTCTTTTTTAGTTCACACGGACACAGTCCATAGGAAGATGTATCACCTTAATTTGTGTTGAAGAGATAAAAAAGGGACTTATATAATAATGCAGACACGGCTGAATATTTCTCAATTTCAACTCACATGAAAAACGCACATTTAAGTGTATGTGCATTTTATAAAGATAACTAAACACCGCAAAATAAATTATTTCAAAGTTTTTATCACTTTTGGTATTAGAAATCACGACGTCAAAATAATTAAATTGACGTTAAATTTATATTTTTTTAACTTTTTCATCTTAACTGCCTCGATCATTACAAATTAACGGTAGCATATTACATGCTGAAATTTATTTCGTGATGATGTTCCATGTTCCTGTTTTGCAAGTGTTTGCTGCAATTTATATTTTATAATCTTTTACTTAAACGTTGGGCAATTTACCGGAGAACCAGTGTCATTTTTTATAAGATGAGGGATACTCAAATTATTTATCCTGAAAACATGTATCTTAACTACAAAGTGCTGAATGCATCACCGGAACTCATTTGGGATTGTCTTATTTCTTATGTTTTATACTTTGTGTACTTGTTTTTTATTGGAAAAGTTTTAACCTATCGTTTCTACGAAATCAAACTACACACTTTGAAATAAAGAATAATATGTTACTTACTTTTTTCCTTGTGCACCTGTGCCGGAGCATATACACTTGCTGAAACGAATTTCAAAGATATAAGAATATTTAACTTGAAAACAGTTCATGTATTCTTTCTGTCATAAAACATGTAAAATAAATATATATATATATATGTATATATTTATATATAAAAAGAACTGATAAATCAAGTACCAGATTTTCTGCAAATGGATACGGTTTCATATCAACTGTTACATACATACGATTTTAGTCCGGTGAGGGTAAGGAATTAGAACTAGATAGGCGTGTTTTTTTTCGCTCCAGTAGCCACTATTTTACAAAGCAATATAATAAAACATATGATAACCATTGTATAGAATTTTACTTGTGAGTTTTTCATGATAGAAACAACAGTTTCCTTTTTTTCACCATCAAATCAGAAGAATACTTCATTCTAGTCTAGTCAACATTTTTACGTACGCGATTAGTCTGGTTCAAAGTTTGTACAGATAAATTAAATCATCAAATATAGGCGAGTGACATATTTCAAAAAGACGTTTAGTTAACGACTTTAATGCACCCACCTAACACACGGCTGTATTATATATCATTCGAAAGCTTATTATCTGTACTTTTTGTTTTGCCCGGTCGTGAAAAAAATCGTACGGTGCATTTTCTGATAAATCAAGGACAAAGGTCATGAATAAAAATTCAATTATTTTGTGATTAATAAACAAAAAAGCTATTTTTCTAGTTTTGTACCACTAATACAGATTATATACTTAGATATATAATATTAAGTGAGTAACTAAGAATCAATCTTAGATTAAGCAAATTCCTCATAATCTTTCAAAAGAAAAAGAGCCAATTATTTCTGTATCGTAATTTCTGATTGTTTTTGTCATTTATGGCTAGGTTTACGTATACATAGAAATTGTAGTATTTCAAGCATCTTCCACATTTGGAGATGTCTATCGTGAAGAAAAAGTGGAATAAGTAAATCATTTCCGTTCAGTGCAATATAAGAGCGATGCGTGCGGTATTGTTTCATACAACATGCATCTTGAATTAAAGATAAGTGCCGACAATTTCCTTTTATAACAAGAAAAAAAAATGCATTCTGAAATATTACAAAACAGTCTCTGAAAAATAACCAACAAAACTATATCCGGATCGTTACAAGTTGATAGAAAGTTCAAGATAGACACAGTGAGTTTAAGTTACTAAACACATTAATTAAGGTCACACATGATGAAAGTAAACAACGTCTAGAAATGTTTAACTGTCACATTGGCGTATTACTCATATCTACAGTTTGCATTTTAGTTAAACGTTTCTCAAACTGTTAGAGATTAACAAAATGTAAAAAAAAAAAAGAATTTTCCCTACCTTTTTGTGTTTGGATAGTTATCGCTTCAGTAGACTGGCTTTCAATTTCATTTGTAGTTAATGTAGTTAGTTGAAAACTGAAATTTGTAACTGGAATGCAGTTGGATAGTTTGAATACAAATTCACTTCCATTTACAAATTGATCATATGTCAAAATGCTATTTGTAATTTGAATTTTGAATTTTTTCACAAACTTCAATATAGGGTGAACTGGTTTCGTCCATGATAATTCAATATCTGTGCCTTTGCAAGTGACGTTAACATTTCGTGGCGGTGAAGGACCTAAAAATAAAATGAATTAAGAAAATATAAATTACAATAATTGAAACGAATAGCATTGAGAAAAAGAAGTTATAAATAAGCAATCGTCAAATCCCATCTAACATTTACGAAAACACAGGAGACAAACACAATTGGAGGGACATGTAAGACATGAGGTATATCAAAGTTATTGTAAGATTTGCAATGTATTATCTATGCACTAGTTAGAGAATGTGCAAATATAGATGCCATCCTTTCACAACACGGTCTTTGCCAGCCAAAAGCCCAAATCCATACCATCTTTGTATAAACACGTATCAACTTAAATGAAAAGACAAAATTTAAAAATAATTAAACCAGAAAACAAGAAAACCAAAGACAAGAATAATGAACAACAAACAAAACATAAATCTATACGACATACATCAACAAACGACAGTTACTTAATAATGGAAGATTGATTTGTGACAGACACAAATAGTATATGACAGGGTAAAACATGTCTGGGAGAGCTAAAGTTTTTACAAAACATTACACTTAAGTCATTAGCGTTGCTGGTGTATACTTGATATATATTTATAGAAAACTTTCCTGCATGATTTATTGGTTATGGCAATAAATGTGTTAGTATGGTTTACCGTTGAATTTATTTTAGTACTTGTTTGACACATACATTGGTGGATTATGTAATTGTTGGATTTAAAGTTCCCGAATGAATCTTTTGGCTGTAAGTAATCTTCGATGTTAATTACGATTTGATTGAACCAAATTAGTAGGTTATCTACTGATACATTGATCGCTTGAACTTATTCGTTCTTTGCAAGCTCATCTCCAAACAACATTATACTATTTTACGTCAAACATGTCCGTCTGTTTGTGTTTCTGCGTCCAATCAGACTTTAGTTCGTTGTATGTTCCCAACAATTATAAATTAAAAGTATTAGCGTTCATCAACCTCGAGAATCCTTGTTTAAATATTAATCATGTTAATCAGTACAAGGGTCTTTTGTAGAAAAAAAAATTCTGTTGCTTAAAATAACACCAACAAATCCTCATCAAAGCAGTTGGTACTACAAAACGTTTAATTATCTTATAAATTAAACTGGTAGATCTATAAATGCAGCTGCTGCAAACATAATTATATATTCAAATATTAAAACTGATAGTTTGTGTTCAAATACGTTACAGATGATACATTGTAACAGATTTCAAAATGAAACTCTAGGTAAAATGTGTGGAGTTTCAAAGATAAAAAAGCATAAAGTAAAAGGTGAACTGAAGAATGATACAGGATTTGCTACTTTTATAATCTTGTTTGTTGAAATGCTTGACTTTTAAGCCTCAAACTTATGAGACTTACATGTTTTCGGTTTGTTTTCATAGAGGTTTCATACTGATTCTATGCATCTCATGTAAGGTAACATGCACATATGAAGGATTAAAACAATTACAGTTTTGTTTTAAAAATTTGTAAAGAACAAAGTTGAAATATATGCATTTCATTTTTGCTATAATAAGTGTATTTGTGATAAAAAAATGTTTATATTTTATTTTCATTTATCTGTGTCTATTCCTGCAAATATTGGTTGGATTGTGTGTATAAAGCTGATTTACAAATCAAACTTCTTTTGGGAGATACTCAAAATTCAGTTTGTTTTATAACATATGGTTCCAAAATATAATTTGTAAGTTCTCATGGAGAAATTCCTTCAGAACTTTACTAGATTGATATTAAACAGTAGGAAAGTAGTAAAACAAAATATGCATGGAGACTCAAAGTAAAGATAGGGGTAGGACAAAATTCGACTATAACTTTAAACTCTTAAACGTTTATAATAGTATAATTACTATATTTATCAAATTTGGCCAAATTTGTTTTGTGTAGCCTTATTGTTGCTTACATATATTTTAACTGTTAAGTTGTCATTCTAATTTGTTTAATATTTCTTGTAAACTTGCGTATAACATATAAATCGTGCTAGATTTTAGTATTGATAAGTGTCGTTTTCTGGCTACAATTTAAAGGTGATTCCTGCCTTTAACAATAATAAAATGCTGCATAACCCTTTCTTTTATATTTTCAAAAAGAGTAGTGAATGATCATATCCCTTCAGGGATAGTAATCTTTAATGACATTTAAAGTGGCATATTTTGTTTTTAGGTAAAAGGAGTTCTTATGGAAAATTCAATATATTTACCAAAATGCTAAATTTGATATGACAACAACTGTGTCGAGATAAGTATATCAGATATATCGGTTATCATTACAACATTCCTACCTTGCGTTTAAATCTGAACTGTTTCACTGGCCTTGCTTTCAAATTCATTTGAAGTTATTGTAGAAAGCGGAATACTATAAAATGTCAAATTCTTGCAGTTCAGCAGTTCATGTATAAATTAATCTACACTGACTTCATGTACATCCTGGAAACGTATTTATTGGCTCTCAATAATGACGACTTCAGTATGTACACTGTATACAGGTTTATCCTGCCGAACTGACTTTAAATAAAGCTAATATTAACAATGAATACTGCCCTTTCCTGGATCTTGATATCTATATTCTAAAAGGTAAGCCTAATACCAAAATTTACGATTAAAGAGTTGTTAATTATCCATTTTAGATGGTGACGTTCCCTTGTCACCATCTTATGCTGTTTATATATCACAACTTGATCAATTAGCTCGTGTATGATACAACGTATTTGACTTTAGCGAAAGAAATATCTGTACTACTAGAAATTTATTACCCCGTGGTTTTATATATCACAAACTAGTCAAAACATTTACTAAACTGTATCATCGGTTCAAGGACATTATTCATAAATATAAATCAACATGCAGACATATCATACGTTCAGGTATTTTACATCCAAATTGTTATGGTTTTATTCATTACAAAGAACAAACATGTCGCCATTCACCTCAAAAGCTTACCAATTTAACAAAGACGTATTCGGAAGGGATATAGTTAAGATACTGTTGTTTGGTCATTAAGGATTGCATAGTTTGGTATTAATATTATTTCACTCATAGGGTCTTTGCATCGGAAATTAATATCGGAAATTAATATCGGAAATTAACATCGGAAATTAATATTAATATAATGCATTTATTTTAAAACCAGTTGTTGGCGTTGGCATGATACGGGTTATGTTCGTCTTATATATTTTATTATGATATGATTCTAAACGCGTAACGGGAAGGATAATACTTGATGTGCATATGATGAAGACATTATGCCACAATATTTATATCAGTTGAGGTCAGGACTTGGCATATCAAAAACTAATAGTAGTCCTTTGTTTATTTATGTATTACTGTCATTGTGCTTAGTTTCTTTTTTTTTTTAACTATTCTGACATCCGACTCGGACTTTTCTTATCTGAGTTTCACTGTGCCTAATGCTATGTGTTTCGTTATTCTTCATTATTTAGCTCGAGTTATAGGGGGATAGTTGAGATCTCATCAAACATATTTAACCCGCCGCGTTTTAGTGTCTGTCCAATTTCAGAAGCCTCTGGCTTTTGTTAGCTTTGTATGTTTTTATTTTTATTTTAGTTCATTTATATGTTTTTTATTAGTTTTGTCTGACGTTCATTCTTACTAAACAAGTACACATTTTTATTTAGAGGCCAGCTCAGAACCACCTCCGGATACGGTATTTGCTCGCTGCGTTGACGACCCATTGGAGGTCTTCGGCTGTTAACAGCACTTTGGTCAGTTTGTTGTCTCTTTGACATAATCCCAATTTCCATCCTCAATTTTATTAGCAAATTGTTGATTTTGATTTTAAGCTTAACAATATTGCGAGCTGTTTAAATAAAGTATGAGGAAAAATGTCTATATATTGACTATATGATCTACAATTGCGTATATATAAAAGATCTATTATTCCTCAATGCTCGGAGTTTTAATCGCTCGTACTTTTTTTACAACGATACGTTTACACATAAACTTGTGAACTTCAAAATAGTCAAACCTGTAATTGTTAATATTAATTGTATTTACCTTCTGTTTGGATCTCAATTTTTTCACTAGTCTGGCTTTCTAGTTCATTTGAAGTCAATGTAGATAGTTGAAAACTGTAATTTGTCATTGGCTTGCAGCTTGGCAGCAAATACACATATTCACTCCCACTAACAAGAGCCTCAACTTTAGTTTTGCTTTCTAAAGCTGTAATTCTAAAATGTTGTATAAACTTTGAAATTGGATGAATAGGTTTCTTCCATGAAATTTCAACATCGGATCCTTTGTTAGTGGCTTTTACATCTTGTGGAGGTGTAGGACCTAATAAGTAAAACGTTAACCTCTTAATTATAACTACAAGTAAAACAATGAATAACATGTGAAACGAAATTTGTATTTATAGCAGGTGCCAAACAAATATATCTCATAAAACGTGTTCATGTCCAAAATATAATTTTATTAAGTTACATATTCCTTTTACATGTTTAATAAAAGAACACAATGATACAAGAGCACCGTAAATGCCTCTATCTGAAATACATGCAAATGTTGACTCTCAAAGAAACACACATTTTAATATTAAAATAAACCTATCCTGCACTTGCATATTTCTAATTAAACAATAAATTCTGAATGTACTGCAATCTTATTTGATGTTCAAAACAAGAAACAATATTTTTGGAGATAACAAATTATACATGTTGGAATTATACAAATGCTTAAATTGTATGTTACAAAGTTTGTCTGCTTTTTATACATGTTTTGCAAATACGATGTTTAACAGTCAGATTTTTGGTTGACTCCTGTTTCGAAAGATTAAAATTAAATAAAACAATCTTATATAGACAAATGAATGCTATGACATGGACGAATAGTTGAATGAACAGTATTTAAAAAGTTAAATGATGAATTATAAACGTTATCCTTAGCAATGCTAACTTCTATCCAATGTCTACTTCTAATTATTGTAACTATCTTAGATCATATATCGCATTCAGAGATATCTAATGTGCATATTTAGATATATAATTGCATTTGAAATATTATATGACATACCTTCAACAAAAATGCAGATCATATCGCTCGCATAACTTCTTATGGAATGGCATATACCGGTATAAACTGTAAACTCAATTGTCGTTGATGGTAAAACATCAACAACACTGTAAGACATTTTATCAACTGGGACTTCGTAATCATTAGCATGGGTCGATGATCTGTGTTTTGTATTAACTTGTACAATATACAGCTCGGTTTTGAAAAATGTAGCTTGAGGTTTTTTCCATGTTACAGTGACACTGTTGTCCTTTTTAATTGCTTTGACTGATTCAGGAGGAGCTGGATCTAGTGAATTGATAAATGTAATCTTCCTAATTAGTAGGCTAACTTGTTGTACTAGATTATAAAATATTCATCATAATGTGATACATACCGTTCCTTTAAATATAATTGAAGTCATTTTTAAGTTGTTTTAGCTATTGCATGTCTGTTTGCGTTTTAAATGATAGAAGAAAAAATTACGGGTTTAATCTTTAACTGAAGAGCAAAATTTACTGTCATGTACCATTAAGTAGGCATTACTACTTTTGTTTGTAAAGTTTTGGTGTTGTTATAGAAAATGATTAAAGTTCAAGTATTATGTTGAAATAGCAAATCTTTATATCTAATATCATGCACATTACTAGTAACATAGTGTGCTAGTGAACTTATCCCATATATATGGGGTCAGTAAATTCCATATTAGGTGAGAGCAAAGCTCGAATCTCCACATGGAAATTTACGGACACCTCTATATACTGAATTAGGTCACTAACACACTATCTAACGAATGTGTCTACCAATCAGCCTTGTATGTAGGATTTAGACTAATGGCATATCAAAGTAAAAAAAAGTCCAATACCGTTAGTTTTAACATTTTACTTGTATTGGTCTCTACTCATACAATCGCCGAAACTTACAACGTGTCAACTTTAAGGAAATGTCGTTCTGAAATTAATTTAAAAACATGTGAAACAAACGGAAAATATCAATGAGTTTAAAAAAATATTATAACCAAACTTCACTCTGTGAATAAATTGTGTATTTTCAATTAGTAGTTTTCGAGTAATAAAAAAAAATCAAATTGTATTACCAATTACGACAGTCTCATTAGCCAAAATGTTGAGTCAATTGGTAAGATGTACATGCAATTATCTACGAAACATGTACATCCCATATCTACTTTTTCCTTCAATTTTGTTATATATGTATTTTTTTAAACATTTTTTTTCCAAATAATTTTCTTCTAAAAAAGAAAAAAATCCCAAATTTAAGAAAGTAATAACATGATATATTTGATTTGAAAATTCAACACCATTTTATAACACTTTATGATATTACCACCTACCAATAGTTATTTTAGTTAGTTAGTTAAATTTATTCATGTTAGTCCAATTCATCTTTATTGAAAGTATTACATGTAACAAAAGTTCAATTGGGAAACTGTTTTTTTCCTTGTATTAGTTGATGAAAAAATGTTTAAAATCACCAGTTATTTTTGTCAACCATCTGTACAAAAAACAAGGTTTAAAAAAAATGTAATTATAGAATGTGTTAGCTCCTCAGAGGTGTATTCCTCTAGTGGTTTTGTGAATTGATTTAAATCGTTCACATCATCAATTTCTACGTCTGTTGAAATCTTTAAGATTCCTACTCAACACCGTGTTGTTTTATGAAGGGACGTAACGTTCTTGCAATGACACATCATGTCTTCAGTCATTTCTTTATATCTTAGGTTATTTCACATATTTCTCTACATTTTGCAATCTTTTGCTGTCAAACTGCCTTAAGGTAGTTCGGGGGTATACTGCCATCTTGAATTGTATAATCACAGTAAACAATCGGTCTATATCTTTATCAAAATCTGCAAATTTGGAGACAGATTTGCAATTTATTGGTTACACTGTTTACTTATTTAAAGAAAACTTAGTTAGTCATTGCATTATCGAAAATGTTTTATTAAATACCAAATATTTGTGCTTTTAGAATTGATTTTTCAAATAAGCCATGTAAGGGGAGATAACTCTTTTAGTATAAAATGTATACTGGACATATGGGGAAATTTTCAATTTTTACTGTAGCAAGAAAACAAGTTCGGTGACACCCCAATTTTTCTTTTTATTTTCTTTAAATATATTATAAAATTTTCTCAAATTTTATTTCAAAATTTTGTCTCATTGATTTCTTTTTATGCACAAAAATGTGTTTTTTTCATGAACAATCTTAGCGAATTTTGGCAATTTTAAACGACTCGTACCTTTTCGTTTCGTGACCCACACTTTTTATCATTTTTTAAAAAAAAAACATAGTAAAATCTTCATTTTGGCAAAGTATAAGAAAAATCTGTCATTTTTTTTATACCTCTGAAGTACCTTAAATTAGGTGTTTTGCATATATTAATTTTTAACTATTATGTAAAAAAAATGAATAAATGGCTTATTTGAAAAAATAATTATTACAAGAACAATGAACTAGTTCAAATAATTTCAAAGATGTAAATTTATAATGTTTATAACTAATGCATGTATATATTACTCTTTCTGTTTAGATAACCAGGTTATAAAACTGCCAATGAAGTACATTTTATAACCTGGGGCTATATAATGTTATTTTCCTCTTAATTAGACATAATTGAAATCAAAACAAAGTTGGCATATCATTGATTGGAAGTCCTTGATCATCTGATTCGATTAGTAAAAAAACTCATCATACATTTGTAGATTGAAATTTTATATTTGCATCAAATGCGCGTTTTGTCTACAAAAGACTCATCAGTGACGCTCGAATAAAAAGTGTTAAAAAGGCCAAATAAAGAACAAAGGTAAAGAGCATTGAAGACCATTTTGTTATATACAACACAAGAAGTTTGTTATGAATTTTAAATGCTATAGTCCAGTGGATATAAGAATAATTGATCACTTTATGGTAAAAGCGTGAAATTTGGCGCAATGAAAGGTTAAGGGGTATAAACAAAATTGAGATGTGGAGCCACGAAAAAAAATTCAAAATGGCCGCCAAATTAAAGACGGCCGATATAACGAGCAAGGATTACAAGAACAAACTGTTGATGAAGTCTTCCGATATGAAAGAGTTCAGTAGATACCACAAAGAAGTAAGTTAGGCCCTAAAATGGCCCCCTGTTTTAGCTTAAATTTCAAATTAAGACTTATTGACCAATATCACAATGCATCATACCTAATGCAGTGACTAGATAGGAAATAAGCCTTTTTGTTTAAAATTTACGTTCCTGCGTTTTATTCATGACGTCACATATAGTACTCATTTTGATTTTCCACGAAAAATCAATGAAAATTGGTAAATTTCCATTGATTATTTGACAGGAAACATAGAGCGCATTCGTGGACTAAAAAGATCTTTGAAAATAATGTTTGTAAAGACATTTTGCATGTCTTACTTGAATATTTAGTTTGTCGACGGCTGCGCTCAGTCCTAAATTTTGCGTAAATACGGCCGATTTTGTAAAATTTCGTCAAAAATCTCTTATTTTTATATATTTGGGATGTAAAAAAAACAACGCTTTCGAATAAAACTTTGACAGAAATAGTTTTATTTAACATTCTAACATATTTCTAAGTCGACTTAAAACACATTTTATCTTGTTACATTGAACTTTATAATCGGGGCCAAATAAGGCACTTACCGAACTAACTCCTTTAAGAAAATACATTTAAGACATGTCAATAATCGTTTTGTCAACTTTAAAAAATATTATATTAATCAAAATGGCGTCCAAATTCAAAATGGCATCGTAAAGTTTGAAGGTATTTATATATATTCACTACCAATAATGAATAGAAATTTAACAGATTTGTGAAACTGATCAGGAGTTGTAGACACATGCTTTCAGTGTATTTATTATACCAGGTGATATATATCATGTTTTTAAAATGACGCCGTAGAAAATGTCGAAATTTGTTGTTTTTTTTGTGTTATAATGGGGTTTAAATGATACACAAATAATACAACATTTATTTAGATACTAAAACCAACAAATATATTACTTGTTTGTTAGAGATGAGATTAACTACGGAATAAAATTTGCCGATACCAAACAAAACGGCGTTTCTGACCAGCTTTAAATTTATAGTTTTTGTTAATATTTACACGACTTCAAAAAATGTATCAATGATAAATATGTATTAAACATTACAAAGATACATGACAAGTATTATACTTTTTCTTAAATGGTTAGCGAAAACAAATATTGCGCATCAAAAGTTATCATTTGGCAAAACGACTTTATAGAACACATTCAAATTATCGTGTATTCAAAATAAGAATCAAATGCAGGATAATCAAATTTAGAACAATCTCAATAAGTTTCCCTCTCATAGCCCGGTGAGCGATTACATAATGCTTTGCGTTTCATTGCTGCTTTCAAGCATTTGCATGACACTCGACATAATTTCGTACAGCTACAGTGGATCAGCTCTTAACATGACATCGCATCTTTTGCAAGCACTGACCAGAATGGCAATCATGTATCATCAAGTTTTTCCAAACCAGATGAATCTGGTGATGGCATACCAGGATTTGCGACTAACAATTAACCCCAAACACTACTAACTTGGTAAGCTGCACATTTCCCGTGTCATAGTTGTGCATCTCGTGTAAGAGAAATATTGTCAATAATTGTTCTTGTCTTCTGAGTGAATGTTTTTTTCTTAATTCACTCACTTTATTAAATGAACCGGACCGACCACACAAACGCACACAATACCCTTCTATAACTTTTATTACTTTGAAAATTTCCACTTTGTTTGAATTTTGAATAATCTGCACAAATGCTTCTTATGATGCTTCATATATGGACCATGTGCTCAAAGCTGAAATGTTATCTTCTGGAAAAAACTGACAATGTGTCACAACCAGTGAAAGTATGTATCAATGGTTAAGTCTTTCTTCTCCGATGTTCCTAGAGCAAGTCATAATCAATGAAATGAAATATTATTTAAGTCTCTGAAAACGGATTTCTAAGTTCCATTCAGATCATTTTCGTACCTAGGCATTTCAGGCCCAGCAAACATTCATTTACCAAGTGCTTCTTGATTTTACTTTAATCCAACAGCACCACCATCTGTTTTATTACACGTAATATTCTGTTCGTGGGCTTGGTCAATAGCCATACCAGAAAACTTCTTCTCTGTCTTGTAAACCACACAATTTCTGTTAACGAATGCTTTGTGAATTTCTTGATTCGATTTCGATAAATGAAACATGTCGCGTTGAAGAATTGGCACCCTCGTGAATAGTTGGTGTGATTGAGCTCAAAGAACCAAGGGTTA